TACAGTACTTGAACACCCCCTTATTCACCGGATCTCGCTCCGTGTGACTTTTCCTTGTTCCCTAATGTGAAGAAATACATCAAGGGAACATATTTTGAAACCGTGGAAGAGATTCTTAAGGTTACGACGGGCGTTCTAAACATCTTGCAGGAGATTGACTTAAGGAAGTGCTTCGACAGTTGGGAAAAAATGCTGGAATTCATGTATAGCTGCAAGAGGGAACTACTTCGAAGGAGACCACCACAGTTTACAATAATATAAAATATAGCTATTAAAAAATACAGTCTCGTTATTTTATTGTCAGACCTCGTATATATGGAAAGCAGGAAATTATTACACATTTTAAATAATATATGACTGCTGGAATATATGAATATATGAATGCTGGCGCTAAGCTTGTTATTACAGCAGGGCACGGGATTAGGGAAGAGTAGAGTCCCAGCTCCACAAGTATTATACCTTCTCTATCCTTAGTGGAAGAGAGCTCCTCTAAACAGCTATTTCTTCTCCCGAGGTCCTGGTACGGGAGGAGGAAGTAGTGAGTCATCTTGGTACTCTTGAGTGCTGGTGAGGATGAGTACTTGTGTACTCGTCCTCGCAAGTAACCTTGAGTTCCGAAGTATGGAAAGGAATGGGAGATATACAGTGTATCGATTCCCTTCAAAAGTACGAATTGGTTCGTTAAATACGCATGAATGTTAGGGGGAAATTAACATCAATTTTACGTAAAATGAATGTAAACATGCTGTTGGGGATGTACACGGGAATGTCAATTTTAGTCAAATTTACGTTAATTTTATATCACAGTTTACGTATTACAGAGGTGACATTTCTGCAAACATGTCGACATTATCTTGGTGATGGTTTGCATAAAATAGATATAAATGGACAAAAAATTTGCATTCAGTTTACGTAAAATCAACATAAACACGCTGCTTGGGAATATTTAGTTGCAATAGCAAGCCTAGATACAACTTTGGGTCGAGGATTGGCCTCCCGATCGACGCCCAACCCCTGACATGTAAGACGATTTCCAGGGGCGGAAAAGGAAAAAAAAAATTGGAATACCTTCCTTCAGCACAGGGACATCCAGAAGCACACTTGGCACAGGTCTGAGAGTCCGGACTGGAACTGAGGGCCATCCCAGTCAAAAATTTCAGCGTGGCATCAGTGGGTTATAGTCAGTGGCGTAGGCAGAAAATCGGCAGGGGCCAGGTAGCCACCCCAATCCTACGCTTAGCTCCACCACCCGCAATTTACCTTTTTTAAAGAAATCGTGGTCTGGCGTCTTGGGTCTGTGGATGGACATTAGACTTTCCTCGAAGGGGGATAGCTTAAACTGGAATTCTCCAGGAAGGCTGAAATATGCCTGACTGTCACTGACCAGGAAGCCCAAAGTTTCACCTCTTTTTGAAAACCCATGTTTTGACCCACTAAACCCCCCCCCCCCCCCCCCTTCCCTACGCCACTGGTTATAGTGGACTCAATACTTCGTTTTGTCAATAATCCCATGTGCCATTCGCGTGGACAGTCGCTCTATTGTCCTTTCCGAGAGATATTCATCATGAGGTTCTCCATAGAAGAAAAGAGAGACGACGATGAATGCAGTTTTCCCTGGCCCTCTTAGCTAGCACAACAAAAGATACGAGGCATCGAGTGACCCAATTAAAGGGTTAATCGGACCATTCGAAGTACTTCAGGAAAATGAAGCATCGGAGCTCTGATCTTCAGGACTCTTGTGAATCTGATAAGAGATCTGCTGAATAACCTGCCCGACGGCCCGTTTCTAATCGACGCCGTAGTTTCTCGTGCAGGGAAATGCTTTTTGCACCGGTTTTTCTGATTGTCGATGGCTAAGGAAGGAATCCATTCAGTCGTTTCTCCCCTGCATGCATGAATTCTCCATATTCTCCAATTCAGATATTTCATCGCGCTCTTTCAACGCTTTTTGGACAAGGATAGACAAGTAGGTCGACGCCGTTCGGGGATGAAGGGGAGGTTTCCGTCGCGGATTTTGCTTTTAATTAATCAGGAAAGTGTCCTTGGGGGAAATACGTCTTCCTGAGAAAGACTGGAAGTTCTTTCGAGAAAGCGATGAGTCTGCGAATTTGGGAAATGGAGACGTGTTGGAATCTTATCTTTGCGGAAAATCCACACCCGACGGAATCCCATCAGAATTCCCGGCTTCCGCGCTCGATAATTTCGATAAAGAGGAAGGCGACAGATGGAAGACAAATTTGAACTTACTTCAGCAAGTTCATTTCCTCATTCTCCCCAGATCCCCGAGCACCGGGGAATCCAAACCGCCGAGCGGTTGCCGAAGGGCAGAAGGGCCTTTTTTTGTTGCTGGGATCGAAGAATTGCAGAACTGCAATAGTTGTACTGGTTCATGCAATATAGGGATTTCCGAGGGATGAGAATGAAACTCGTGAGATCGCACATCTAAAGATAAAATCCATGGAAAATCGAAGATCGGAAAATATGGGAAAATACTAATATGAGAGGAAAAATAGTAAAAATAGTAAAAAGTGCGAGACGCCTAGTTTAAAGAATCAAGCAATAAATGCTTTCAATGTGTTTTTCCCAAAACAATTTCCTGAAGCAGAGGATTTAAATATTTCATCCCCTAGATTTAAAAAATGTATTAAAAGCATTAAAAAAAAACTAAAAAATCGATATTAAAGGAAATCTTTAGATACGAAAATCGTAAAAGGCGTTTATGGCATTCCTGCATGAACACATCTCTTGGGCCTAATTAGTTATTTATATTTAAAGGCAACCTGCTGCATGATTCTTATTTTAAAAAAAGGATCATTCTATAGGGTCAACACAAACTGTCCATGAAAATCTTATGGAATTCCACGGTTTGATGTCTTCAGCTTCCAAAACTCCATAAACATTAAAGTGCCTGTAATAACTCCAAATAACATGCTTGAATCGAACCACTTGGGGCGCCTCGTGATCTGTAGCAATAGTCCTATGAGGCCCTACAAATGGTGATGTGGCATCCTGCACATGTGTATTCAAGGCAGGCTGTGGTGTTTTTTTTTTAATGGCGACCAACGTTCAATCCAAGCAGTAATTGAATGGTGTCATGTGCAAGTTGAAATTATGGAGGCATATGGAGGCAGGGGCTCCCAGTTTCAAATGCGCCCAATGAGTTTTTCAGGCGGAAAAAAGCGGCTGCGAAAAAGCCAAAAACTTTGGTGACAACAGGAAACCTTCGGTTGTGGATCCTTACAAATCGTTCGCTTCCCATGAGGATTTGGAACCGGGTGGATGTCCCCCTAGGCGTTATTTCCACCTGTTGTAGCAATGTCCACCAGGGGGAAAATCCATCTGGCTCGAAATCCAAGTGCGTGATTGGATAGGTGGAATTCCACAGGGGAGGCTTCCACCTGGTTCCAAATCCACCCCCTATCCACCTGGATGTTTGACCAGGTGGATAAGAGGTGGACGTTTTGCTAGAAGAGCAATTTTTGTTGTAAACCTCTCCATTGTTATTGTGCTTTAAAAAGTGAGTCATTGCTTCCAGCTTAGCCTGTGCATTCTGCCTGCGGATGAGAAAAGCCTCAGCTGATGGGCACCGAACAAGGAAAGATCCTGTTCGGTGGGAAAATCAGTACCGCATGCAGGTGTGGATGGACGAGATGACGAGAATCTTTTTCTGCCAAACTTGACCAAAGGATCGTTCCTCCAAGACGATCCTTCCGAGGATGTGTTTGCCCTTCTTGCATAGAATCGTTGACCTCTTCCATCATTTTTGGAGATGATTAGATGGATTATTCCCCATCCATCTGTCGTGCCCCCACATCGTACTTCCTTAAAATAACATATCTCGGGCAATATCATGCTTGTTTGTGCAAGGTTACCCCACTCTTAGAATTCTGAGGCGACTTTAAGTGAAGTCAATGTTCGTTTTTCGTTTCAAATGAATAAAACACATTGCTTTGATGCAGTTCTCTCCTTGCTTGTCCACAACCTTTACTCATCTTTCTAGAGGGAAAATTTGTACGAAATAAATACCACATCGCATATTGCTGTGATCTCTTTGGGATGTGCGTCTGGATGAACTTGTGGCCATGCCTTGTCATCCCGCCGTCTAATCAGTTGGGCATCGACCACATCAGTCAATGATATTCGGTATTTAAGTCATCGTCACTGTGGGTTTGGCCTGTGACTCTCCCTTTAGGTCAATTAGACCTAAGTTCGCTCTGCATTGGATCTCATCGGTGCAGGTCCACTCCAATTCAGATTCCTGGTGAAGGCTTTCATCAAGGACTAAAGTGTGTGTGCTCTTCATCTTTCATGTCTCTTCATCTTTGACGGTCCATGGGTCAGATGAAGGCAGCCGTGTTGTGATTGAAATATGTGTTCATTCATTCATCTGTCCTTTGATTTATTCACTAGGTTATGCCGTGATGCACCCGTCCAAGCATTCCTTCCGTTATTCCCCAGGCATCAATTGACTCCACTTCGTGTTCGACGGGGTACTCCAATAAAACTCAATATAACTTTAGGATGGCCGCCAACGTCGGCTAGGTATATGGAACTGCACCAGACCACCGGTTGAAAAGCATTAGTTTTCCCAATGCTATTTGCCCTGCTCACTGGGTAACTTTCATCAGTTTCTAGCACGCTAAACTATTGACTTGCAAGACATTGTATACTGCTGGACAGAATCGATTTTATTTTGGAATTTGGAATAATTATTATTTCTCACTACTGCAAGAAAGTGAAATTGATAAAATCATTATTCACAGTGCAATATGTCTAAGAAAGCAGAGCAGAAAGGTCAAACTCGCAGGATATTTAAAATTTGCAACAATTGAGCAAAACTTGTTATAACCTAACGAAGGCCTTCCTCTATCGCGCAATGAATTGTTTCCATCAACTGCAGCAGCCCCAGAAAGGACTGAAATCCATCCTTCTTCCACCTGAGTCCAGGTAAGGTCCTCATAGGAACCTCAGACATAGCAGATCAAAATGAAATGGTCATTGCTCCAAAGACATTCTGTATTGCTGCTATCAGTGTGGCTTTTCTAGGACAAGGGACAATCATAACAACCGGCAGCATAGGCACACGTCAACGCTGTGTAATCGCCGTTTGAGCAATTAGCGTTGGACCCGGATGCACAACGACCCACAGCTACTCTTCTACTTCCACATCTGCAAAGGAAGGCGGGTATAATGATTCTATTGTAGCAGAATACCGTGCTACATAATAATTATCAACTTGTTCTCCAATGCTCTTGCTTCTTCTTCAAGTCAGCTACGGTGCCCTATTGAGGTGCAAAGCGATATGGAAATCGAGCACACTTAGATGTGATACCATCCAAAACAGCATGTTTATGTTAATTTTACGTAAAATGAATGTAAATTTTTTGTCCATTTTTTATCATTTTTACGCAAACCATTGTCAAGATAATAACAACATGTTTGCATAAATGTCACCCCTGTGATAGTAAACGGTGATATAAAATTAACGTAAATTTTACGTAAAATTGACATGCCCGCTTGCATTCCCAACAGCATGTTTACGTTCATTTTACGTAAGATTTATGTTAATTTCCCTCTAGCTTTCATGTCTTTAACGAGCCAATCAACACCATTGAAAAGAATTTATATACTGTAACTCCAATTCCTTTCCATATCTTGGAACTCATGGGTGCTTGGAAGAGTACACTCGCCCTCACCGGCACTTAACAGTACCTAAATGATCTACCACTTCCTCCTCCCGTACTGGAACCTTGGGAGGAGGAGTATATGTTCAGAGGAGCTCTCTTCCATTTAGGATAGAGAAGACTAAATACTTGCACAGGGTGGGGCAGGTAAATTGGGACAAACTATAATGGAAATTAAAAAGACATGTTTTGCAAGCAAAAATCAATATATTGAAATGAAAATTGNTTCATGGATTGCATAATAAAAAGTGGAAGAATGGTAAGAAAATCTGATACTCTATCAGAAAGCCAGTACTTAATAGTATTCGTAGGATGCAGGGAACAAGGGTTCCATCTAGTGAGGAATCTTGGTACTGCAACTGCGGGATGATCAGCTAAAGTTTTATGTGGAAGTGTGGCGCTAATTTTGCCTAAACTTGATATCATGTACTTCACGTCATATTGAGTGACGTCTAGTTTATGTAAAATACACGTACACTTTGGTGACGTAAATATAGGAACGTAAATTTTACGTAAACGTGATGTCATTTTCGTGGCAATCGCAAGAAATTTACATTGTTTGCAAAGAGTTGATATCTTGTTTACGTAAACATGCTGCTTGGGATCAAGTCCATTTTTCGATTAAATTGTACATCTGACTTCTCGCTTCGTGAATCGGGTTAGTTTATGATAGCGTACCGTAATTTATACTGAGCAGTGATTCCTGAACAGTCGTGGCGACCTGTTATGAGACCGACAGGAGCAGAATGAAGGTACTTCATTAAAGGACACGTCACATGTTCAAAACGAAGGACATGATTAATATTGAAGCCAAATAACGGATCTTTTGCCCAAGTTTTCCCGAGTGTGTTCAATATTCAGAGAAGTTCCTCCTCGTAGTTAATTATTGATGACGGCAATGAATTCGGGCAATATGCTGATCCGTCTTTCAACACATGAGGGTTCAATTGAAAGGAGGGATTTTCTAAAAGCATATTAAAGGTAGACTTGGGCTTACGTTGAATTATATCCATTGGATGAACCCTCCGGCGTCAGCATTCCCGGGATCAGCCTGCGATTGGGTATAGACGACGATGAATCGTCCAGGTAATAGGTGCAGCAAGTGATGGAGTGGCTGCGGCCGTCACAGCTCCCTTCGGAGAAGGAGCCACAGGCACCCTTCATGAACTGTCCGTCATCGAAGCAGGAGAGCACCTGCCCGGCATCACCGTAATGAACCCGGCACGAATCGGATGTGAGGTTCCCTTCAGTCACATAACAACACTTGATTGAGGTGGCGATGCTAGAACCACAGTCGTTATTCGTTCCGGACCCCGCCCCGCATGTGGAGAAAACCATCTACCAAGGAGCGTGAAACACTGGAATCAGCATGGATCTTCATTCACTCGAAACTAAAAATATGAGACAAGTTTAAGTAAAGGACGCTAATGGCGGTTCTGCAGTCAAAAGGAGTCAGGGCCGTGAAGGGGGCTGGAGCGAGCGAGGAGTTTCACCTTCTGATGACTGCCTGTATGGTAAGTAAAGTCCAACTTTACTTCTAGTAAAGTTGGAAAGTTGGGGGGAAAAAGTCCAAACTTTTTTTGTCCAAACATTTGTGCCCTTCACTTGAAGCATCTAACATATATAGACGATGGTTAGTAACTGACGCTAATTCTAACAATATTTTATATACGATGGAAAGATGAAACTTGGTACACATATGGCCTTCAGAAAATATCTGACTTAGGAGGTACATGCCCTAGGACACACTTTTCTGGGGAGAAAGTTTTTCAAGGCCTTTTTTCACGGCAGCGAAAAGGATTTTTTTTAAATGTATATAAATATATAATTGTGAAGTTTAGTGAATCTATTCTTCGGAATGCTGAGTTTTGGGAAAATCAAAAGATTGAGATACGACACCCTCAAGGCGGGTGGAGAAAGGATAACCGTTAAATTTTTTCTTAAGGGTGAGTCAGGGTTTACTAAAATGTCACATTTTATTAGACTACCGAGGTAGTCTAAGGGTAACGCGGTACGCCACTCAACATTCGAAGTGGATCACTATCGATTTCAAGGGTACCGACGGAGGTAAAAAAAAAAAAGTGTGGCGCATGTTTGGTTCATATACTCGAACCACTTTTTACTCGATCGTTCGGAAACCAGGGGAAACCAAATGATAATGCTGGACCAATGCGACATTTAAGTTATTTATAGCAGTGATCCACGTCGAATGATGAGTGGTGTATATGTGGTATGCAGACGATCGTGAGTGAACGACTCACTGGGGTGGTGATTCCAGATAAAGGTTCTACTTTTTACGGACGTCCCCTTGGGGCACATTATTTTGAGGATTTTTTTTTTCTGAATTTTTCCTTGACTTGATAGTGGTCGTCACAAGTTGTGTTAAAGGAATACTGAATGAACTTAAGCTTCCAAAAGAGAATTACACAGAACGCAATAAATATGATTGTATTAGGAGTGTACATAACGAGATTGTATAAGACGTTTCACATTCCGTCTCAACGAATCCTAACTGCATGTGAAAAAGAGAGGGAGAGAGAGAACCTCATCTGCGTCACAGGTTACAATCAACCCTTCTGCCTCTTCCAGTGGAGACCGGCAGTTCGTCCAAGTGAGACCCAGGCATTGGATGGCAAAGAGCAGGATGATCGCGATCCCCGCTGCGATTCTGAGAACATGCATCTGATAAAAGGAGAGATTAGACATCTCGACATCCACCTCAGCGTATTTCAGCTTCGCAATAACAGGAGGCGGACATTAGAGGGAGATCTCGTCAAAGGAGGTCAAAGCACTCAATGGCGAGCAATTTTTCCAACAATAATCTTTGCTACGTAACGTAACCGAGGACTTGAATCGCTAGTTTCAAGCGGAATCTTGTAGTCAGTATGCATTGACGTTCATATTGAAATGTCAATGAAGTAAGAAGACTGATAGCGGTCCAAAATAACTTTTTCTCGGCCGCTTGAGGGAGCTATTTCACTTCATCTCTTTACTCACCGTTGGCATGATTACAATGGAAGATCCTGCGTCCGATGTAGGAAGACTCGGCTCCGAAAGACAAAATTCGATGTGGAAGGTGGAGATGGAGGGTACCGATAATCCGCCTCTTTTATAGAGGGTTGGACACGTTATCATGAGGACGCATATGACGCACTTCCAAGGCAAGAATGACAGCTGCAAGATAAACTTTAGGCTCATCTTTGGTTTCCCGGAATTGCAAAAGCGATTTGGACTAAGATTTAGATTTAGATTTAAGTTTAGCAGAGCCGAGGAACTGGCCCCAATATTGACTCAAATCGACTTGTGAGTCCCTTGCAGTTTAGGCCCATGATATTTCCCCATGATCCTGACTTTCACGAACCCTGTTCTAGTTTTCGGAGCAATGGAAAGCTGAAAGTTGATTTGACAAAAAAGGAGTTCGGGGTGCTGATTTCAGGAGGAATTCTGTTTTTGGGATAACCCTCTGAGAAAACTTTTTGCAGGAGATTTGTTGTTCAGGAATCCTTTTCCACTTTAGCGAAATAATCTTTGCATTCGTATTGGGAAAGGTTCTGTATGAAGGTAAATTTTCGAAATGGAAATTTCTGGAAGATGTTCAAGATATCCCTCCTCCCAAAAAGCGAGTCATATTGGTTGCTTTTTCTTAGAGTGGGTAATGCATGAAGTAGATTATCTTGTGACCAAGCGTAATGGAGGACAATCGGTCGTAGTTTCCACATTTGACGTAAAGTCCCTGATTATTATTATTATTCTACTAGCGAGTTTGTTTGCCCGAAGGGCAAACAAACTAGCTATGGTCGCGCCTTCGGCGCTCCATTACCTTGGATAGTGATTTATTCATTTATTCTCTGCGAAATGGCAAACACGTATTTAAAGTACGTCCCCATTGAAATACGTGACATATGGGGACGAAAGTCTTCATTTTTATCAAAATCATTACATCTATTACTTCTAGTGTGCCTAACTTGAAATCTTTTCATGTGTCCCTTTTTGTAAGGATGGAGAATACATTTTGCAGTACTTCCCTCCTATAATATACGATAATGGGGCATATTTCAAAAGTAGGATTTTTCCTGTACTCAACCATCAAATAGGTACTTTTGAGGGAATTTTAAATTTTCTGTCTGTTTCGTTGGATCAAAAAAAAATAATTCAGGAAAATGGGGCTGAAATAAAGTGCCCTGATGGGTTTTAACGAAAATTTTATTTATTCTGAAATGTAGACTCAGGGAACTCCATGCCACCCATATTCAGCCTTATACGTTTCCCCTTTTTACTGGCGGTAAAAAATGTATTTGGAAGAGCGTCAAACCCAGAAGCTGTGCTCTGAGGAGACGCACAGCAAAAGTTGAATTTTTCCTTAAATCAGCATCACGTCCGTTATGCGTACGCCATCTGCTACTTTTTTCTTTTTCTGCCCGATTCGCTAGATATTAAAAATTCTTTGAAAACATAACGTCCCCAAGAAATATCCCTCCCAAAATTCCAATATTTTGGAAATTTGACATTTTTCCTGAGCTGAGTGCGTCAGCAGTCACGTTCTTGCCAGGTTTCAGCTTTCCATGTGTCTCCGTTTGATTGAAGCAAAGAGAACTATTTGAAAATATGTTTCCCGAAAAGGTGTGTCCCTATGGCATGTATCGCCAAAATTTTTCCTGAACTCAGCATGCGAATAGCTACTTATGTCAGTCAGTCAGCTACTCACGATTCTGTATATATATAATAAAAGTAGAATTCTTTCTTTACTCAGCTATCCATCGGGTTCTTCTTTGGCAAGTTTAACATTTCTCGCGCACTATGTTTTGCTGGATCGAGAAAATATGCCTTTTGCAATATGTGCCCTCAGGCGCTTTAAGGTACTACGGGAACATAAAAATCGACCCCCCTGGATCAAAATTCCGCTCTATAATTGTTGTAAGGGGCCTCAAGAAAGGGCCTTGGAGCCGATTGCTGGCTCTCTCAGGTCACCCCTGGGGCCATGATCTGTGGTCAAAGGTCAAAATTTGCATGCTTCTCTTTGAAAATCTCCATCTCCCCAACCCTCGGTCGCAGAAACGTGAAATTTGCACCATTCTCCTTGAGACATACAGCACTATATGGAAAAAATAAATCCTCGTATGCAACTGTCGTTCCCGAGACGCCATGACGCCATAACTGAGAATTTTTCTGTTTTC